GTACATTACACCATCTGACCGGGATCCGATTTTGGAAAAATTTACAATAGCATTTCAATTATGACACTTCAAGTTGGCTGAATCAGTAATGGTATTGTGATGTAGTGCCGGAAAACTTTCCCATTTGTTCCAACACACAAAATAATCCAAGTGTCATATTTTTCAAAATGTATGACTCTCGAGTGTCTTTTCTTTACAGAGGACCTTTGATAATATACCATCCACAATTTATTTTGAATAGTGCCCCAAGCAAGAAGGCACTTAAGAAAAAGTCAGATATTATTGATATTTTTGTATGCGACAAAAAGAAGACTTATCCCTGACTATTTCACAATTTTAATGATTGTTTTGAGAGGTGCATAGCCATAGTGATCTCATATTTCTAACATTTATAACTCTTTTATTATTGGACGATGTATTTTAGATTTAAGCCTTTCTATTACTCTTATTTTTCTGCTTTTTTCATGCCAATGAAGTTATTTATTACGAGGGTAGGATTGCCCTCTGCGTTTTCACTGTACTGCCATTTGATTAAATATGCATGGATAACGAATCCACATAACGCAAGATTTATTTCCAATATTGTTTTCTTATTTTGCATATCGCACGATGCACCCTTAACTGTGCAAGTAGATATACCATGACTAATAGAATCTTCCAAACTTTTCTAGAAAATTGGACTAATATTTCCCAATTCTCCAGATAAGAAAAACTTATAGATAAAAACTATAGCATTTTTCTACGTTGATGCATTTTTTTATACAAGACATTGTACATTCATATATGATACTAGTATGTTGTACTTGTATGTGTGTAGTCTCCTTTTTGTTTTTGTATGCATAAAATGTGTTCCATTTGGGGGAGGTTGTTGATTTTCCAGTGCCTTTTATACTTTTGGAGGGAGTCAAAATATCATTTGGAACGAGAAGGACGCTAACTTTATCTTTTACACAGATTTAACGACCTTCTGGCTCCAAAAAGTGTAGTAGTTTCTACATATAAAGTACTGTACAGTTATATTGTCCAATGTACATTGTGTATTTATTATCGTTCTCATAGGTACTTGTACACATTCAAATGTCTGTTAGTTTGCAATAATTGATAATAAAGTTGATAGTTGATGTTTCTTCTTTTTTTTCAACTTGGAATTGAAGATGTTGCGTGCCATACGGTTGTATTATTTTGTTGGTCATAAAAGGGAAAGTGTGGCATGGTATCAAGGAGAAACAAGTGTGAGGAAAGTTGTGAGAGTATGAGAGAAGTAGAGGGATTATTATTATCAATATCATCCTCTTTTAATCAAAAGAGATCTCTTTGATGCACATCTTTCTTTCTCTCTATGTCTCTATCTCTTTCTCTCACTCACTTATTCTGCCCCCCCCCCCCCCCATTCTCTCTCTTCTGTTTCTTTCACTCTCTCTCTCTCTGTCTCTCTCCCTCTCTCCCTCTCTCCCTCTCATCTATATCTTTCTCTTCTGTATCTCTTTCTCTCTCGCTCTTCTATATCTTTCTCTCTCTCTCATCTATATCTTTCTCTTCTATATCTCTCTCTCTCTCTCTCTCTCTCATCTATATCTTTCTCTTCTGTATCTCTCTCTCTCATCTATATCTTTCTCTTCTGTATCTCTCTCTCTCTCATCTATATCTTTCTCTTCTGTATCTCTCTCTCTCATCTATATCTTTCTCTTCTGTATCTCTCTCTCTCTCATCTATATCTTTCTCTTCTGTATCTCTCTCTCTCATCTATATCTTTCTCTTCTGTATCTCTCTCTCTCATCTATATCTTTCTCTTCTGTATCTCTCTCTCTCTCTCTCACCTATATCTGTCTCTTCTATATCTCTCTCTCTTCTTTATCTCTCTCTCTCTCTTACTCTCTTTCTCTCTCTCTGTATATATATTGATACATATTTCACTTCTTCTTACATCTAAAAACTACAAATCTTCCACACAAAGACATAATTGGTATTAAATAATCCTACAGAACACAAAGCTCACTTTTAGTTGCACTTTATTGTTTAAATAGTAACTTACAAATGTATTTCCCATCCTCGGTTTTGTTTTACCATTGGCAAAAACTAAGGCAAATTATAATATTTTGCATTTCAAATCAGAAACCTTTACAAATTACGTACATCTTGACAATAACATGATTCTAGTATATGTTTAAGAGCTTGGGCAAACCTTTCACATTTTAACACCAAAATCATAAGAAAATTTATGAATCACATTCATTAGAACCACCATAATATTTGGCAATGTTTTTCTGTGAGGTTGTTTTACTAGACATAATAAATTTTACTACTTTTAGATTACATGTATATCATTGGCTCAACAATTACTCAGGAAAATTTAATTTGTATAAAATATTCAGTATAACCCTATAATAATCATATATATATCTAAATACATTTCGTCAATTCTTACTCTTCAAGAGCAAATCTTTTTGAAATGAAACAAGTTAAAAGGAGGGATCAGGTATAATGCTTTTACAGTGGAATGTTACTAACGTGTTCACGTTTTTACAAGTAATTAAACAAAACTATTTTCCTTAGAACAATAAAAGATGATACTTATCCCTTTTGACCATTCTGAAGCAATTTCCATGTAAGATTTTCAAACGTATATGTTCAAAAGTATAATATATTGTGTGGACTAGAGGTATTTTTCCTCCATTTTGAAATAAAAATAAAGGTACAGTGCGAAGGGTGCTCATGAAAAGATATTTCATACAGAATTTAACTATGACACCAAAAATTCAAACCATGAAAGTACCCTTTTTCTGTCAAATTGTTAATAAACCAATTATTGGTAGAAAAGAAGAAACAATATGCTTCACAAAATGTCAAGAGTTTGTACAACCCTATCAATTGCATTGAAGGAATATATTTGATAGCCAACAAACTCATTTTGAAGATATATCATAAATTTAAAAAAAAGAAAGCGTAGATACAGGCCTTTCGTACACTATGCCCTTATCAAATACATAGATGTGTACAAATATTTACAAGCGAATCGCTTCATGTATATTACAACGAAAACCGTGAGAAAACCAAGTTATATGCTGCCGTACAAAGCCAGTTATATACATCATTTGCAAACGCAATATATTATTTTACAACTTTACATGTTGGTTTTTAACAGATAAAAAGAGAAATACAATAAATGTTAATAGAATGATGAATTTTTAAGCATATTTCACACCAAAACCCATGATGGCCGTTTTCTCGAATCATATTGTAGTACATGATTCGGTTGGCTACCTCGTAAGTTAGACTACTCTCTATACAATGAATTATGAAATTAGGGAACCGATCACAAAAACGACAGAGACATACATGTATATTGTATGTCCTTCATGGCACCCCAAACATAAAGAACAGATAATTTGGGGCAATTCGTCCCTGAAAAAAAAATTCCCCCTTCCCACATTTAACGCAGGAGCATTTAATACCATCTTTCATGAACACTATCTTTTTGAAAGAAATATCTTCCTCTTAAAGCTAAAGACCAGTTATGGTCATGCGATTGCATTGTGAAAGAAACATTGTGAAATCGATCAGAAAAGGTTGATCATCTAGCATAGATGTACTGCAAGGTTCTGGAATCATCAAAATGATAAGAAATTTGGCCAAGTCTTCATAAAGTTAGAAGCACTGTACACAGAAAGATGTCTATGGGACTACACAAACGTGCGCGACACGTGCATTTCATATCTCTCAACAGGCGAGAGATACACTAATTTACCAAATATATCAATTAGTAGGCGGTTTCCCGTCAAAAAAATTTTCATCATGTAATATTCAAAACATATTCTTTTACATGATTGTTATGGGAGCTTCCATTTCATTTTTTGAAATTGGGGCGTTTCCAATACTGGTCTTTACCTTTAACATATTATGCAACAGACTTCCATAGCTTCATACACAGTTTGAAGGTGGGATCAACTAGCACTAAATTTAAGTCCAACCATTTTCAAGATAAACGATGAGGATAAACATTTCAAAGTTGTGTTATCAAAGTGGAGGTAAATATTTAGTGCATAAATATATTTTGTACAAAACAGATTGCTAAACCTTCAACTGGTTGGTCGTGAGCTGCCGACCTGACCTGACCTTTCAAATCTTCTTCATGACTGGAACACTATGAGACAAATTACATTCATAATCCAAATTGGTTAATACTTTCTACAGAAAGCACAAAATTACATTTTATCAATAAGTAACCCCAAGATTAAGGGTATCAACTATCGTATGATAAAATAATAACAAAATTGATACAATGCAATATATCATTCTACAATAATTCTCCACTAAATGAGTTTCATAGAATCACAAAAGCACTTTTGATGAAATTTATCAAAAACAAAGCTGAACTCCTAGCAAGTTTTTCACACACAATCTCCAACACATATAGAAGAAAAATGTCAATTATACAGTACTAGAGAGAAAGGGATACCCATAGCACATTGAGAGACATAGTTGCAACACATGGAAGTGTACACGTTCATAGGTTAAGTCATGGAGCTCCTAACAGTTCCCTGTTCCCTCCTTTGTATATACAATCTCTATGGGAACTGCCGAGGATCCGTTTAAATGACTGACCAATCAGAGACAAACTCTGGTGATGCAACTATGTCTCTAAAATAGCTATGATTTTGCCCTATGAGCCTGGAAAGAGATCCAGAAACGTGCTCTAACTCCATACATGCTGCAAAACTTGAAGCCCTCAAATAATTGTCGGGACCTAAAACCGATTAATAACCTCAAAACTGGAATCCCAGAAGAAAGGAGAAAATTGACCAATCAAAATGACATCTTGGAAAAAAGGTATTGAAGTTACTCTAATGATGATTCTGCCCAGTGTATGCGACCGCGCATTCAAATCAAACAAAAATAAATACCATAGCTAAGATTGTCTGTCTAGCATCTTAAATATACTTCACAGACCACAGATTCACACCAGTGAAAAATGCTTACATAATCATCAACTTTGAAATTTGCATGCACATAAATTATCCAAGTCATGACTCATGCTCTTGTGCCTGAGTTTTCAAATCATGGTGATTTTCATGAGCATAGAGAGAATCATTGTAAGTTTACTGTACTTTTTTCTCTCCCACGAGTGAATAATTTACATGTCATTACTTGAAGACATAAATAGAGAAGTGTCGGTATGTCAGGACTAAAGAATATAGTAATGTAGATGATAACCCTTTAAGGTGCAAGATATGTTGCACGTATGTACTTTGCGCTTGATCCCTACGCTAAACCTGACAAACTTGTCTAGAAACAGTCTAGGTCCAGCTTCCAAACACTCCTCATCTTAAATGGAGGAGCTTTACTCAACAAAAAGAAGGAAAAAAAATGTATTAGTCAAACCTGTCTTTGTGTTAAATGCTCTGTACAGGCCACCCTTCTACAGTGTCCGTATGTCTACTAATAGCCAACACCAATATTATCTTTCTAGAGAAAGTAACATGATTGATAGAGCCTGTTCAGAAAGGCCACCTGTCTACATTGGCTATGTCTCTATCAAGGCTACAGTCTACAGCGACCACTCCATCGGTCTACCTCATCGAATTAATACATGTAGTAGGACTGCTTCAGAAATGCCACACGTCTACAGTGGCCACTTTACTGGCCGTCTAGAGTCAGTGCAGGAAATATAGAAGTATACAACATCTAGCGAGGTACCATCGACCCTCGACGGAGCATTGCACGTCAGAAATAAAGAAGACGAACACCGCTTCAGTTCATGCTATACAAATGGCGGGATCGTCCAATCATCAAAAGACTGGCACCACGGTTGTGGCGCCCTCGTTGGGTCGGTCGCGCTCAATGGGTGCGAGCGATGGTGCTCGTCACGCGGCAGTAGCGCAGGAATCTGAAGAAGATGTTGATGACGAATGCCCAGAGGTTGCGGGCGAGCTGAGAGCGGGCGATGAGAACGCGCCAGAAGACGACTAGGAGAACGGTGTTGAACGTCCATCGGATGTTACGCAACCTGAAGGAAGACAAGAAAGCAGCAATGCAATCAATCATCTTATTAAACCCAAAAGGTACGAAAATTATCTTCTGTTCAGGGGCCTGTTTCATAAAACTTGTTATCAATAACAAGTTACAAGCTACTGTTATAAGCTACTGAAATCCTTGCTTCTGATTGGTTATCAGCAGATTTGTCACTGATTCTTGTCATTTGTCGTTGAAAAAAGGCTTTGTGAAACGGGTCCCTGATGTAGAAGGGCATGAACCCTGTCTTAAAGGTACTATGTCCCATATGCAGACCCCAAAAATGAGAAAAGGTTAAATTCAAACGGCATTTGAAAGATAATACAAATTAGAACTTCCCTTAAAAAAAAGGGGGGGGGGGGGCTTGAAAATAACGACTATTAGTTGTCGAATCGACCTAAGAGCTATAGAGCCTGTATGTAATAATCTGATTTTCAGACCATTGTACCGAATGGTCGTACGTTTTATGCTGCGCAAAGATTAAATCAGTTTAATTTTGTCCATTACAAGAAGTGGGTTATTGATGTAGACTTATGCTCGTGAACCCTTTACAGCTCATTTTATGTATGTTATTACCAAAGAAGAAAAAAGCCAGTCGGTCACTCAATAGTGTCCGACAGTGCAGTCTAGCAAGTAAACGGTTTCCTTGCATAATTTGAATATTAGGACACTGCTAATGTTTAAATTTCACAGATAGGACATACATGACATATTCATAATTCCTGCAAAGTTCTACAGAATTTGATGTTGGCTGCAAAAGGGACATAGTACCTTTAAAGGATGCACGTTAATATCCTTCTAGCTCAGAACACACATAATGACATGTCAGTATTTTAGCAGATGCTGTTTATCTACACATGTAAATATATGGTCAGACAAAATTAGTTTATGAAAAGGGTGTCATAGAGTTAAAGATGAAGTTAAGCTGTTACATGTCATATTAAGAATATGAAGGCATTTGAAGAGCCATGCTTTTCAGGGAACATGTCTCATCTGATGTTCTTCCACACTTGCATAATAAGAATGATAACGCTCTCCCCAGAACTCAACCTTCTCATTAAATCATCATTATTCAATATTATGTTCCAAGAAGGTGTCTCACAAAGATTCTAAATTGAACTTATCTCTAATTTGGACTAAACAATTATGAAAAGCATCTATGAAAATATATTGTAAAAGTTATTTTAAGAGGCATAAAATGTTTCCTATTATCAAGGAGATTTCATGTTCTTGATGTGGAATTTATAAAAAGTCCTGAAATTACTCATTTTTCGCTTTTGAATATATGTTATTTTGAGGCTACAAATGGCTTTCCGTAATATCTAAGTCCAACTTAGAGTTAAGTTCGGCTTAGGATCTTTGTGAAACACCCCCAGGAGTATAATGACTGATATGAGTGCTTACATTTTGAGATGGCTGCGTGCTGCCGGGATGTCATTCATGTCTTCTTTAAGAACGTATTTCTTGGTGCCAAGGCAGTAGGCTTCTAGGTAGGTCGGCCAATGGAGTGGTCTCACGTCCGTGAAGTACACCTGCAAAAGTAATAATAATCAAAATAGTCACATTTGTATAGCACTTAAAGCGGGACTGCACTAATTGTAGCTACTAGCGCCCTCTATATATAGCAAATAATGCCTATGCAGTACCCGTTGGTCCCCCAAGGTCCCCTTTTTCTTATGTTCATGAGAGCTGATTTGATGAGATAACAACCTGTCAGTGACCATGCAGGGAGGTCTAATCCCTCCTGGCCAAACAAGTGCAGATGGGCTTTAATACTACTTTTCTAAGGGCTTTACATTGTCATAATTATTATCATCTCGGGCATTGGATTCAACTACTAATCTGACCATGACAGTACACACTCTCCACTCCCTGGGGAGTATTCTTACCAGGCGCCATTGTACAAGCGCACACATGCAAATCCAACCACGCCAACCTTCGCATCCTACAGGGTACAGTTTGGACACGTGGGTGGAGAGTGACACATGAAAACTTATGTCCTGCCTAAGGAAATAAGTGCCATGACTTGACTTGGATATTGCAGGATATATTTTCGCTCACGGGGTAGATTAGGAGTGCCGTCGCCCCGATCAGAGCCGTCTATACACAGAGTTTGGCCAAGGCGGTTCGAGTTGGACACAATATGGCGACTACACTGCGTTGTTGGGCAAGCACAAAACAAAAGAATATACGCCATGTTGTGACCCAGTGAAACCAAGTTGGCCAAACTCTGTGTATAGATGGCTCTGGTCCGTCCCGATGGTAAACCTACCTTCCGATCCTCCTCGCTCATAGCCGCCGAGAGGGCTATAGTGTTCTGATTGGTCCATTCCCACGTGTTGTTGGTGAAGTACTTCAGAGTGTGCACCATCTTGGTGATCTTGCTGTTTACCTTCATCATCCTGCAAAAAAAAGTCAATAACACTTATCACCAATCACAGACCTACAAATCTATTATTACAACATTTACCTTGAATATCCTATAAAAGAAATAAATTCAACAAAGGTCATTACAAATTTCAACCCTAACCCTACATTTTGATGACATAAGGCCCAAAGTGTTTTCTCTCTCTCTCCCTCTTCCTCTCTCTCTCTCTCTCTCTTTCTGTTTCTGCCGCACTTTCTCCGTTTCTGTCTTGCTTTCTTCCTCTCTCCCCCTCCCTCTCTCTCTTTCTGTTTAAGCCTGAAGCCACTATCACTGGTGCATATACGTCAGAGTACTTTCATAATACTTACTGAGGTTTCTTTCCTTGTAACCTTAGAGCGCAATCCATGATGTATGCTGGGATCTTAGCACTCACCAGGTTGACATATTCAAAGGCTAGTCTGTTGATGAAGCATAAAACTACAAGATAAGGCTGTGCACTACAGTGTAATGAGGTACCCGAGTACACTCCCAGGCTTACAAGCGAATACTCGAATATTCGGACGCCATGTCTTTTATAATTTTTTTTGAATTTTTTTGAATTTTTTTGAATTTTTTTTATTCTTGACCAGTCTGTGCATTATTATATATTTTTTGTATTAAAAGTGATTTCTATTGGTCATAACAATATTTTTAAACAAACTTTTTTGTCCCTTTTTATTACAAGTATTTCGAATGTATTTTATATAAATCATAAAAGATACACAACTGATAAATACTTTTTTGTGTGAACATAGTAATACATAAATACATAGATGTAATGTGTTCTTACGGGTATTTAGTGAGTGCTGCTCTGGGTCGTCTGAACACCTTCTCGAGGGGAATTCTGTTGTAGAGGTCTGGGATGATTTCTACGATAAAAGAATAACGAAATAGAGATACACAAGATTAAGATTAAGATTCAAATTGAACAAGCTGAATAAAAAAAAGTACTAGCTGGGTCATTATCATTCTCTTTTCTGTGATATAATTTCTGACAGTTGTGCATATGAGACAATCCTATGAATTAATTCCTGTTACTCAATAATATTTCAATTCAGAGCCAGGAGGGAATTAAATCTCTGTTAAAGTAAATGAGTTAACGCCGTTCTGACACTAAACAGGCAACATTTACATCCAAAAATATGAAATTCTACACCAATGACATACATAATTCTTGACAGAAATACATTCTCTGAATAAATTCAACATTAAATCCTCTAAATTCCTGTAAAAGAACATTTAGAAATTGCTTTTGTTTGACTTACCTACGTCTCCCCATCTGTTTGGGTTGACAGGACTGGTGACCAAGTTGTAGATTGGGATGTTGGCAGGTCTGTGTATAATGAACATATTGAAAAGGGATACCAGTCTTATTCTTTATTCTAAATGTACATAGAATTAATGCTGCAAGAACATCACTGATTTCTACTATACAACAGAATACATGGAGCTGATAATGCAGCCTTCTCCTCTGCTGCTGCCAAACTCGGTACAGTCTCTCTCCTCAATTGAAATCATCACCAACAGTAGAACAATTCAAACAGAGTTTAAAGATATATCTATTTAGAAACCACATATGCATTCAACAAATATTGAGAATAATACAGGGCCCAATAACGAGCCTTGGGGTACTCCCCATCTAATGTCCCTTTCATCGGAAGTATAGCCGTTTACAGATGAAAAATGATATATATAATCTGAAAGTCATATCGTCAATGCTTGGGAACCAATATACACATTCTAACTATTTTCAATGATTTTACGCCATTTTTGGAATCTGAATAGTATTTTTGACGAGAGAACTTTGATCCACTTACTTATGGACACCTGTATGCCACGTTGCACCGATCATTGCATTGACTACAAAATCAACGGGAGAGATATCGACGACAGCGTCCGCATCACCGATCATCGTCCTCAGCAAGCCTTTGCCGACCTACAGGAGGGTTAGAAAATGGTTGAAGGTTAGTGCTTCAAGTTCAAAGTACAGTGAAACCTGTCTATAAAGACCACTCAAGGGAGATTAAAAAAAGTGGTCTTTATAGGCAGATGTTCCTTATGTACAGGTTCGTGTAGTACATGTTTCAAAGATAAACCATTTTCAAGGGGGGAAAAAGTTGTCTTTGTAGACAGGTGGTCTTTCTATACAGATGGTTGCTAAAACAGGTCTGACTGTATTATCAAATTAAATTAAAGAGTGAATTTACTGTAAGGTCAAACCAAAAGAAAGAAAGAAATAGAAATTTCCCAACAATTACTTCTTGCTGATTTTTTGTCAACTTACAGGAAGAGCAGGAGGAAAGCATAGAAGATTAGTGCTTCTAGTTGGAAGAAATATTGGCTGATATTCATTCACGCAGACTTTAAAAGTACTTTGTCCCAGTTGCAGCCAACATCAAATTCTGTAGAACTTTGCAGGAATTATGAATATATCACGTATGTCCTATCTGTGACGTTTAAACGTAAGCAGTGTCCTATTATTAGTCAATTAGACAACTAATGCTTGTTATTTTTAAGCCCTCTCGTTTTGAGGGAAGTTCCAAATTAGTATTATTTTTCAAATGCCATTGGAATTTAACCTTTTCATTTTTTGGCCTGCAAATTGGACATTGTACCTGTTAACCTGGTTTGACTAATCCATTGATGATTACATTTAGATAAACCTGCGTTAAATTAGTCAATTGATCTATGGAGCAGCAAGTGTCAAGCTCTTTTGAATTTAAGTCCAATGTGGAATAAACAGCATGTGGCCAAATTTGCTATACAAGTGGTGGACAGGCAGATGCTATATTCTTTCTGAAATGATGGGTTACTTACAGCAATAAAGACTCCACTTGGGCCATTGAAGTTATCGATCCATCCCTGAAAGATATAAAAACAAAACAAGAATAATACAGATATGCTGAAAAATTCATTTTTCTTGCAGGTTGAATATTGCACATTTGATAAAAGTGAGAAGATTTGTTTGTAATCATGCATTATATTTGGACACAAGAATATGTCACCATTTTACAACAGGGCCCTGGTGCATAAGGGCCCCGGATTTTGATTTGATACCATCCAACATCATAACTCTTTTCCTTCCATCCTCCCCTCAACGACAATCGTTATGAAACTTTAATAGACTTACGGGGAAAGGTTCCTTCCAAGATGCCCCGACGATGGACGGCCTTGTGATGCAGATTGGCATGCCCTTGCCCTCCTCCATAACAACGTACTCCGCCAGAGCCTTAGTGAAGGTGTATGTGTTTGGTCTCTTCCCCAGGAGCTTGGGGGTCAATGTCTGGATCATGTCTTCTGACATCCATCTGCAACATTAAGAATGTGTTTAAAGGTAAAGACCAGTTTTGGAAACTCTTATTACCAATCATGTGAAAGAATATATTTTGACTAGTACGTGACGATACAAATTTTGCAGAGAAGCCGCCTACTTATTGATATATTTGGTAAATTAGTTTATCTATTGGGACGTGATAGATAAAACGCATGTGTCGCGCACGTGTCATAGTCCCATTTACATCTTTCTGTGTACAGTGCTTGTAACTTTACCAAGACTGGGCCAAATTTCTTATCATTTTGATGATTCCAGAACCTTGCAGTACACACCTATACTTATATGCTAGATGATCAACCTTTTCTGATCGATTCCACAACGTCCATAACTGATTTTTATCTTTAACAATGTTTCCAGTTTCACAAATCGTGGAGAAAAAACGTGGAGTTTGATTTATGATGTAAAGTGTAACAGCATCACATTTCTATATCCTATAACAAGAGCTCAGTAAAGACTCCCAGGAACTTTGGTGCGTGCAGTTACCATTTTGAATGCAAACGTGTTTTATAATGCAATTTGAACGAGAAAAATATCTTGGAACAGGGAAAAAATTAATATTTATTTTTCGGGGGCTACTTTTCAAGCTTGCCTGCATAAAATAACACTCTGAAATTTGTTTTGCAATGAACTCCATGCAAATTTATGGGGGCTCTTTTCTGATTTTCGGGGGCACAGTTGCCCTGAGCCCCCGTGTATTTTTTTTTATTGTCTTGGAATGTTTGGCTCATGGTTAAACAAGGTGTCAGAGAGGAGTTACTTACTCTACGGCATCCAACATCTTGTATGGGTCGACGGGAGGAGGGTAGACGACTTCTTCTATCCTCGATCTGTCGCAATTGGCATAGGCAGTTGAGACGTGTTGAAATACCTGCAAAATAAGAGGAGTGAAAGTTTTATACGTTGCGAACACAGTGCGATATCTTCATTATCCATTATTATTATCTATAAATTAGGCTTCCGAGTGGTACAATAAATCAGTGTATTCAATATCTTTAGCGGAGTACCCAGATGACTGACCAATATTGTTTTTGTATTGCTCAGTCATCCTGGAACTTCCAACTATCGATATCGATATCACAGGAAAACAAAGCCATATTTACTGAGGTACATGTAAGTCAAATTTTGTTATTTCGCTAGCCAGCCCGATATCAGTAGATAATAATAATATTGTATGACCTTGTTTTTGTGTGTTACAAGAATATATTGCTCGAGCAATTCGTCCAATATTGTCATAGCTCAAGCAATATATTTTTGTATCACACTCAAATCCATCCAATATTATATAAATATACAAGGAACACAATGAAATATTCCTCTGATACATGAAATTAGATGCACCTTAGATTGATCACAGGTCTGTAAAAAGTGACCACTTGTAAAGAAAAAGCCTTCGTCAGAGCTTCTTTTGTATTGCTTTCAAAAAATAAGATAGCAGCACAGAAATTTGAATGTATTTCTCCCTTTTTGCTTTCTTTACCAGAGCGCTTTTCAAGCTTTACAGAGCTAAAAAAAACTCCAATGCTTTAATTTTTCCCAGGGCTACAGGCTATTAAAGACTGCTTTCTATCATATTGCAGTTCTGGGAGGTGTTTCACAAAGATCCTAAGTTGAACTTATCTGTAAGTTGGACTTAAAAGTTATGGAAAGCCATTAGCATTAGCATCTATGACAATATTTTGTAAAAAGTTATTTTAAAAGGCATAACATGTTGATTCAAATCATTCATTATTTCAATTATCAAGGAGATATCATTTTCTTGATGTGGAAGTTATAAAAATTCTAAAATACTTGAATTTTCACTTTTGAATATATTTTACTTCAAGGCTTTAAATGGCTCTCCATAATATTTAAATCCAACTTAGATTGAGTTCGACTTTTAGAATCTTTGTGAAACACCCCCTGACAATGTAAGTTTGAGAAATGTTAAAACGGGGAATATTAAAAAATATGTACACATGTATTTACCAGTAATTTCTTCATCCCTTGAGCCAGTTGGAGGATCTTTTTGGTGGCGTATACATTCAGGTGTAGGGATAGCCTGGGTTGGGAAAGGAAGAGAAAAATTGGGTTAATACTATTGTGCTACTTTATACTCTATATCACTAATATATATACTTTATAGGCACTGGGCAATGATATTTTGGCCAGCTCTTTTGCACGCTTATTCTCTTTTTATTTGCAAAATTCATGCTTTCAAGTCACATACATGTACATTCCAAATATTTGATTTCTTGTCAATAGTCAAGTAAATCATGATTTATGGGAAAGAAATATGATTATTCCCATCCCCCCCCCCTCCCCTTCCCTGTTAAAATGTGTACAATGTTCACAAACTCCTTCCTGACAGTTTTAATGTACATATTTAGAAACCACCTGTATAGAGACCAACTGTCTTTTAAGACAACATTTATTGTTTCCCTTGAATATGGTTCTTCATTAAAACCTGTATCAAAGGAACTTGTACATAAAGACCCCCTGCCTATAGAGATCACTTTTCTTGTCTCCCTTGAGTGGTCTTTAGATACAGGTTTCACTGTATAACTCTTGTCCACTATCAAAGTCATAATCAAAGTCATTGTATACAAAGTGACTTCCACAGCTTTATAAAATGCAACGAAAGCACAACGGTCAGGCTACTTAAACCCACTCTAATCCTCTGGTTGATTGTGCAATCTTGAAGCTGAACCAGATAAACCCTCACCTACATGTAGACTTAATCTTAACCATTACTAGTTGCATTTGCTGGTGGTACTGTATCTGTACGTGTATCCTTAAATGTTATCTACAACCAATCTGGTCTTGTTTGCCGGAAGACCGGTGTCCGCATATTGGGTGACTCCTTAATAGTGGTGTATTTATATAATAATCATGCCTTTGTGCAGTATTAGATGACCAAAACAGTTAATGATTGATAATGCAGGATAAAATTAGATCTTTTCTTTCGTTTGAGGGTGTGATGAATTAAGCAAAGAGTAGATAACAGGAGGATTACAACTACATGTACATGTATATGTAGATGCATTGATGTATTTTGGGGGGGAGGGAGTCAAATATAAATTATGTAAGGATGGTTTCTCTTTGTCAAGATTGCAAAACATTTGAAACACTAGCTGTGGCTAAAGTGCAGTATCCTTCTACTGTATTTCATTATTGCACATTAAACTAGATGACTAACATTCAAATACACCGAATGCTATCAACAGCTCTTTATATCTACTTGTACATGCTGTCAGGACATTAACATCTGTTCCCTTTCCAGATCTTTTTCATGAACATATGAAGTCATTTATTAAAAATTGGACAGTACAAAACGACCATACCATAAAATTCATTTTTCACTCCATATCACGATGCTAATAGCAACATTGGACTCTGGAGTTACATATTTGCTTTTGCAGGTTCTAATTAATGTTTGACAAAGAATGCAGCTGGAAACATGTTATTCCTGCAGCACGTCGTCAAAGTAACCAGATGTACATAGACATTATTTCTACCCTGAAACACCCTCAAATGTCCAAATATCTACAGTGCCGTGAAATGTCAGCTTGCCAAATGAAAATTCATGTTTTTATGCATTTAAATCACAAATCAAGGTGTAACCCATATTAAACCAAGCTTAAAGTAAACCAATTTACCGGATTAAGGCAAATTGTTTTGCATAGCACTTTTTTGTGCATGTATTGTGTATGTGTCCATGAATATGAAAATGCATGAAATTGAAAGGTTTTCAAATTTGTGAATCTTATAAGACAGATCTCAGTTAATATGTGGAGGAAATTAGTTGCCATTCATTAACACGTTTATAAAAACGCAGCTGCATCGTATCCAAGTCATCTACTTGTAAGCCTTTAGTCTGATAAATACCAAGCCTAAATAATCAAGGAAGGAAGCTTAAATAATCAGGAAGGAAGCTGTGGAAAATTAGGTGATTATTTTTACAAAATCAAATAGTACCGAACAGATTACCGGAAATATACATGTAACATACAAAGTCAGTGACATTTGATCTGTCATTCTTACATATTGTACATGTACATGTAACATACAAAGTCGGTGACATTTGATCTGTCATTCTTACATATTGTACATGTACATGTAACATACAAAGTCAGTGACATTTGATCTGTCATTCTTACATATTGTACATGTACATGTAACATACAAAGTCAGTGACATTTGATCTGTCATTCTTACATATTGTACATGTACATGTAACATACAAAGTCAGTGACATTTGATCTGTCATTCTTACATATTGTACATGTACATGTAACATACAAAGTCGGTGACATTTGATCTGTCATTCTTACATATTGCACATGTACATGTAACATACAAAGTCAGTGACATTTGATCTGTCATTCTTACATGCTCCTTCAGAATGCTTCTTCGGTATCTTTAGACGCTATTATCTGTCTGATATTCTGATATAACAGTCGGACCATGTTTTTTTTTCTCATTCTTTCATACTGCTTGCGCGATAAGAAATTGAAATAGGCAAACACTTATTGTGATGAGTCCGCCCAAATGTACATACCGGTATTTGTTTTTTAATAGCAGGGCACTTGAAGTCTTGAAGATCATCGACTGAAACTTAAATCGCAGAGGTCATGCTTGTCATTGAGTAAGATTGTTCAACTAAGTCAAGAAATACTGCATGTGCTGTTAATTTCAACATACCGGCAAGCAGAGTTTTGTGAGAGAGAGCTGCTTTTTAAAACAGGATATCTAATAATGCAGGGCTGGCCACTACCTGGGGCACATGGACACCTAAAATATGAGTCCAGGCCTGTACCATTTTAAAGTTTTTTACATAGGACTTATGCGAACAGACTGTAAAAGGTTTAATCTGAGCCCCCTTCCGAAATAGTTAGTGTGGAGCCTCTTCTAACGCGAAATTAATCATAGCAATCAGAGCAATTTAATGAACTTTTAATCTACAAACTAAAATCTAAAAGAAATGTTGTCATACCTGTAGAAGCCCACTACCCCCCCCCCCCCCCACACACACATACACACAACAAGGATTAACAAAGAATGGAATTTCGAATGCACTCCTCAGTCAATTGTAGGATTGCAATGCGGTACATGATGAATGCAAGTTTGTAGTCCATACTTAGATTTGCTTCTGTTCGTTATCCAACAAAAGATGCTTGCAAGTACATGTCTAAATTTGTACTTACGATAATTTCTCATCGAATCTGACGGTGGCGGCGACGTGGAACGCGAGCTCTGTTTCCTCTTGTAGCGTCTTGATATCTTCTTCCTTCAAGGCAAGGTCCGGTTCTGTCAGGTCGCAATCGATGGCGATCAGTTTGGACTGGAAGTTGGGCTGGGCTTCCCTCACTTTGTCGAATAACTGTGGAAGAAGGAAAAATATATCAACCGTTCAGAAGCAGAAGTGACGCAGCACAGCTACATTGTACAGTCAAACCTGGTATCGTGGACACTTTTTTTTGTTTCCCTTGAGTGGCCTTTATGGACAGGTTTGACTGTATTCGTACAGACATTGATAAAGTCAAAGTACTTCAGAAATACAATGCCCTCTCAGAGGAATGAACCTGCCATCTGTCATTCTCAAAATTAATTGGGTAACAAGTAAAGAAGATGTTTGGGAAAATTTGTATTTGATAGAAGGAAAATATGAATCTTGTACAACTGTTTGACAAAAACTTGCTTCCTTTGACTAAGTAAAGCAGTGACAATCACTGTCAAATGCTCTGGGAAGTCAAATGACATTTAAATCCTCTTTCTTTTTTAATACCAAGAAAGCTTAAAGCTTTTGAAAGTTTTGATCCTCATTAATAACACAGCTCCCGCTTTCCTCCATACAATTTTTTTTTTGCTTTGGTCTGAAAATCCCGGAAGATGGAATAAAACTCTGACAAACATAATTTTGTACTGTATATTTAATTCATAACCACTGAACTTAAAGCCCAACTGCACAACTTCAAGCTACTTGCGCCCTCTATATAGCAAACAATGCCTAATTGGTGCCCGTTGGTCCCCAGTGGTCGCCTTTTTCTTATGTTAATTGAGGGCTGATTTGATGAGATAACCACCTGTCAGTGACTATGCAGGGAGGTCTAATCCCTCCCCGCCAAACTAGTGCGGACAGGCTTTAAACTTTAAAGCTTATCTGCACTAGTTTGGCTAGGAGGGATGTGACCACACAGCGAGGTCACTGACAGGTGGCTATCTCATCAACTCGGTTCTCAATTAACGTAAGAAAAAGAGGATCATGGGGGACCAACAGGCACCGATTTGGCATTGTTTGCTATATAGAGGGCACAAGTAGCTATAAGTAGTGCAGTGGGGCTTTAAGACTTTCAAGTTTGACTCACCAAGCCAGCAGTGATCTCCTGGATACGAGCAGCCGCCCTCTGGCCTGACTTGGGCCTGATGAGGAGGAAGACTTTCTTGATGTCTGGGCAGCATCTCATGAGCTTCTCCAGCATCACCTTACCGATGAAGCCTGTGGCACCGGTGATCATCAACGTCTTGCCGGCATAGAATTCACCGATGGAGCAGTACGCCATGCTTGCGGGAAGATTATTCAACTTCTAAGAGAAGAAAGGAAGGAGAGACAAAAAAAAGTGTTACATTCTTATTGCATGCATAAAAGTAGACTCTTCCATTTATAATGTAAACCACTGATTTATGGAATGCTTAGTGTTAAATAAAGTTCAACTTCTGAAGGAAGAAAGAAAGAAGAGACAAAAAGTCTTACAATTGTGGTTAATAGTAAATATGAAGAAAAAAAGTAAAGGTGGACTATACATGTATGTAACTTTAATCTGTTGAAGTATGTCAACTGACTTACATGTACTGTACATGTATGGAGTGCCACACATGTAAATATGTATTCCGTACCATTCACTGTAACTCTGTATCAAAATGAATTTCAAAACATAAATCCAGTCTTTAAATGAAAATGGATTTCATGACATTGTTTTTGTATACTTCATTAGATATGGAATTATGGTAATTTTATGGGATGACACGTTGACACTTGGTGGTCCATAAAACAATGAACTAACTCTTAACTTGGATAAAGTCAGTTTCTTTTTACGAATATCTGCCATTGAATTTAACCTGCAGAATACAATTTGATTTTGCAGTGACACAGAAAACATTTCCAACAGACTCAAGTCAGAGAGGGGTTTTTTTTTTTTTTTTTATTCAACAAGTCACCGCCATTTGTCACTTTTTGGTGTCTTGTAAATTGTAATTCTGTGACAATACTGCTAAACATGTTAACAGGAGCTGTTTGAGAAGTTGCTACTGGTTTTAAAACAAAAACAAATCCTTTCAGGAAATGTCTTTGGTGCAGACATGATAAAGAGTTGGTTCAATCATGTAGTCCTATACAAGGCTCATACAATGTGAATTGTTACTTGTACTGGTTAAAAAAACTGGTAATTGGTATCAAGTTACAATACATACACATATTTATTTTGTTTGGATACAAGCTGATGACAGAGATTCATCAAGGCTACACATGTAATGTATACTCTTTCACAGAGTACATCACTCAAAATATAGGTTATTAATATAGAGTTATTTCCTGGTACATGTACATTTCATACAAGTATGTTTCATGTAAAAGCGTCAGCGTATTATTCCCTGCTAACTCTATGCAAGTTAAAAATGTAACTAAGAATAGTAAATTATGAAAGCATCTATACATGTAGATGTGTTTACATCTGGATATGAAAATGCCAGAACCTTTGATAGCCTTGAAAATTATAAAGACTACAGTTTGTGTGCAATGTTGTTTTGGCACTCGCATACAGTACATTAAATACAGATTAAACTGCAAATTAACCATCCATGTTATCCAACCACTGAGACTGAGAGTGTAAGCAGAGGCCCATCAATGTGTACAATATGTTGATCAAATAGAAGGAAAATATGAAATGTACATAGTTACTGTTAGACTAAGCCAGAACGATGCTAACTCTGTAAAATGTTACAGTTATCATCCTTCGGAATCTCATCAAACAATGTGCTTGTTTTAAACCTCTCACATAAATCAAACACAGACACACACATGTACATGTACATTACACATGGACAAGAATTACTGGTAGATGTTTTTGCCCAAAAAGATACAGCCATTTTGCACCATCCATGTACATGTATATGTACAATACATGTTCATACCAATGACAAGCAACGTTCTGCACAATTTGTACAAATATAGCAACGTTTGAGCCTTCACGCCGCGGCCGTTTGATACCGCAAAATACTCCTTAGCCAGAAAATTAATGCTCACCATAGCAAACGCTTCGTCTGTGACATCTACGACACCGCCTGAACCAGAGGAATGCTCTCCATCAAGTGGGGCGCAGATAGGACCGTTATCGTCAAAGCAAGGCATTGTGACTGCGCTACTAGACTTTATACCCAGGAGACAATACCAAAGACAAAGTATGTCAAAGCTTCTATCCTTGAGTTGTCAAAAGATGAAATTGTGTTGACTAATTCAAGCTCAAACAAGATGGAATCGTTGTGTGAGATACAGTCTTTGAACAGTTGATAGGTATCCAGATTCGATTGACGAGATTGGTCAAAGACGTTAGCTGGATGAAGATGGAGTTAGTTTCTGACAAGATAGGATTTGGGGGTTCTATTTAAGCTCTTTCGGCATCCCCTATCTTGCCGCTGACCTGCTTTTGAGAAGCATTGATAAGATAAGTCTGTGTTTCCATGACAATCGGAAGCTTACAATTCTACTATCTGCCTGCAGTGACTTGCAGTCCAAATACTCTGTCCAACACCGTCCATCATTGGTCATTATTTGCTGCTGGACTTCCGGGCGTTTATCAAAGGCCAATCGTGACGGTGGTTATTTAATGCTGATTCAGTTCTTTGAAATACTTCAGATACAATATTTGATCAAGGGTGAAAATCTGCTTACAAAATTGTTTATGTAACTTATGACTTAAAGCTGTTTACTCTGTGGATTTTGCCAACATGTAGTGCTTTAGAATACTTTGCCCAAGATTACAAAAACTAACAAATGGACATCTAGAGGTCTAAAAGTAGCACAATTAGACTAAAATTAGCAACAGAGATTACTTTATCTGTTTTATTGGTTTTAAATTATAGATTCTTTGTTTACTAATTGGACCTTAAATAGCACCAAATAGACTATTTTGGGATACAATTTGGCCAATTTGGCAAGGATACTACTTTATCTGCTTCATTGGTTTTAAATATGAGGTTTTTGTTTACTAATTGGTCCTTAAATAGCACCACAAGAACTATTTTGGGATACGATTTGTCAAATACCTTGTTATAACAGAGCTTTACTTGATAATGATTCTAAATTGAGAATTAAATGTAAAATATCTGTCAGATAAGATACATGTACCAGTATCAATGATGTGGGATGTTACACCATGCAAAACAGCTCTAACGTCAATCAATTCATTTAATTCAACTCTTATTTACATGTACACTGGACACATGTACATCACGACTGGCCTTTAGAAAATATAAACACAAGATGCACAGTTGCACACCAACCAAACTTCTAAGAAACGCCCACAGATTCCAAGTTAAATCAACAGCCTACCTGTATTTTGCATCAGTATTTTGCTCTATTCAAAGCGCTTGTCAGAAGAAAAACATGGGATATTTTGAATCATTCATATCTTAATCCCCTGTTTCCAGCTTAACCAACATTGCAAACTTTGGTGAGAGGTTAGAGATTTGAAATGTGTATCGCATGATAGCTCATTATCATCAGGAACACGTGCACATGGAAGGCAAGGAACACATGGAAGGTAAGCAAATCGATATCATCAGTAGGCCTACTCCGGCATCGTTTTTTCTTTTCTTTTTTTACCGATCTCATCCCACGACTCACGCAGTATTTAATAAAAGAAAAATGGACAGATTTAAAGGCCAAATATTTTTAAAAAACATGTTTAGCGTCCTTTTTTTTTGAAAAATAGGAAGGAGGAGGCCCTTTTTTCCTTCTTTTACTTCAAAATGGACGCTCAAAATGGCCGCCTGGTACATTTTCCCTGACAGAATCAGAAATAGATCCGTTTTAGCAGTGTTTTTCATGTTTTTTTTCTTTAAAAAAAAAAAAATTAAACAAATTTTAAAAAATAAATAAAAATAGGAGGCGGCCCCCAAAAAGAAAGCGGGCGGGGACGCTAAACATGTTTTTTTTTTAATGGCCTGCATAAAGTAAGTCCTTATAAATATAGTTTGATGTTTTAAAATGATTTTAAAAGTAATATTTTAAGAAAATTTGATCCATTTTCTTTTCAATTACATTTTTTTGTAAATCAAACTTGAATTTTTAAAGCCTAGATAGATGTCTAGATCTACATGTATATGAAGAAAATCAGGGGCAAACTTTTTGCCAGATTCTGGCGTAAATCAAAAGTTTACTGCTGCACAATACAAGTGCATACCGTTGGTGGGTTGCGGGCGGGCGCGCACCTGTGTGAAGTTATCTACCGTAATGAGGATCTGAGACATTACGGTAGATAACTTCACACAGGCGCGCGCCCGCCCGCAACCTACAATCGGTATGTATGGTGCAGCGGTTTGCCGTGAAACCTGTGAAAAAATGTAGGCCTATAATAATATCAATGTTTTACCGAAAAATACTCCAAAAATAACAAGAAAGTTGACACAAAACAGGTACTTGATACTTGATGAGGTAATCCCTGAAGCAGCTTTTCCAAGCTATACTGGGATAATAATAGGTAATAAACATAACGACTTTTAACTCATGATCTTTATTTGGACATTTAATGAATACCGTATTTACTTCATTTTGGGTAGATCTAGTCTAAAGGAGCCCGTTTTCGGCCACTTAAGACAAAATCCTATTTTTAGGACTCTTTACTTCCTATTTATTATCATTTCTTGTTCAAATCATGAAGCAAATATTATTATTATTTAAACAAAAAAAGAATCCCAGAAAAAAATCACGAATTGCCATGACAATATTCATTTCAATTTTCACTGTTTAAGAGCCCGTTATCGGCCGAGCGTTTCAGTTTACGGCCGCATGTACAAAGTCAATAGGAAGCGCTCGCGCGCGCCGTGCGTTTCCGCGCTGATGTACAGCACAAGCGGGCGGAGCAGGTATCCCACGCCGGAGCTCCCTGGTGCTCGCCTGGCCGAAGACAGGCACAGCGGTGATCGGAAGTTGGAATCTGAATTAGACAGAGATATCGTGTGTGCGTCGCGGTGTGCGGCTGCATTGATTTAATACATGCGATGACATACTTTTGAGCTTGCGACTAGCACAAAATCGGGCTTTAAATCTGAAAAATACTTGAAATAAAGCTCATTTTATGGTACCCATATTTCTTACAGACACGCGTAAGATACTCGATTTTTCAGATTTGGGTAGCGGGACCGGCGATTACATCGCTAAAATGTGATATTTTAGGATATATTTTCCATTGCAAATGTGGTTCTTCAGTGACACTGGCATGGTATGGTATGTGTGGGATATGTGTTATGCTATTATGCGATGTATTTTAGAGTGATTTTACCTTGTATCCAACCAATCGGCCGAAAACTGGAGCTGGCCGATTACGGGCTCCTTTAGACCTACTCTATGTTTTAGTACTAGTAGTAGGTCTAGTACTAGTAGGGTATCTCCACGCCGGAGTTACGGGTCAAATTTTGGATAGGTTTCTGAACAAGTGCCAAAAAAACATTGACCAATTTTGCAATGCACATGTGCAATGCAATCTCGACTAGTCTAGACTTTAGGTCTATGGCATGGGAAGGATTTTAGCACACAAAATAACTGAGTGCGCGAGTAGTAACTGGGGGAAAGAGCAATTCCAGGGCTGTGTCTTTTGCATACATGGCTCTCCAAACAGGCAAATACATGCCAAGTAAGGCGTAGTGTTCAGGTGTTAGTGATCACATTTCATAAATCATGCAAGCCCGTGCCCGTAACGGACGGCGGCGAGCGCTATACGCTCGCGCTGGAGGTCACCAAGGCAAAGGCGTCAGGCGAGGGACATTGGGCGTACACCCGTGAGATAGGGTACGGCGGACAGCTGCAGCAGTACCGCACAAAAGCACACATCACTGCCATGCCAATGGCTATGGCATACACACACGTATACTCACACAATATCTTTCCCTAGTAACGCTTACCTGCAAAAAGAACGGCCGTTCGCCAATATAAGGATGGTTTTCTTCAAGAAAATACGATCCACTGTAGCTATCAAATTTAGCAAGCAAATAACTATTTCACTTTACGTTTTTCTTTTCGAACTTAGTAGTAATACCATAAAACATGGTCACCTTTTTCCCGGCTTTTCCGCAGATAATTGAAGCCCAACCTCCAAGTGCTACTGATCCCAATCTATTCTAGTTAATAAAAGACAATAGAATAATTCTAGATTAATGTCTTTGTAAATCAAATTAATATAATATAATACATAAATTTCATATTTTATTACATTTAATTAGTATTAGAAGACTAGGCTAGAACTAAAGTTATTGAATAAAAGACAAATGTTCATAAATCTTCATTCAACTGATGAATATTCATTAGATGAAATCTGACCTTTGACCAATAAAAGCACTCGTTCGACACACGTGTACAAAACCGCAATACAACTGATCACGCCCAACTCATATGGTCGCAACTCCCAGGCCAGGGTCAAAATGACAATTAATACATCCTAGAAATGACTGGAAATTGAAATTGTGCCTGAAAATGGACACATATACCGCTTAATTAATTTTGTTTCTGCACTTCCAAGCCCCCTTATACCTTATACTAGGAGTTGTGAACGTTCCAGGACTTTATCCTAATTTTGTTCCTTTTGCTGTTTTTTATGATTAGATTCTTTGTTTAAGAATTGATTTTTTGCTAGTTTATTTGTTTGTGTAAGTGGTGGCGCTGCCCTCGCCCCTCCTTATTAACATATGTGACCCCCCCCCCCCCCCTTTAAATCGCTGCAAAAAGGCGCCCCTTCGATCGATGCCCACCGATATGCCTCAGTCGTGCACATTTCAGACTAATATGCATATAACCGCCATCAAACTCAATAGACTTTGGATCCGCCGGATAGTTTGCCACAGTTTTGATGACAGCTATATAGAAAGCCATGCATGCATGCATGCGTGTTAGATTCCCAGACACAGACACAAAACAATACACTGACGGTTTCAGCATTCAATGGCTGAATAGTTGTGAAGGTTTATTGCAGAATTAAGTAATATCAACTTTGTCTACAACAAAAACAGCTGCATATTTTTCATACCGGTTGACTATTATACGGACATTAACGGCCCTGACATCATTGTAAGTATTATATACACGTACTTTGGTGAATATAATAGTCTTGGAATTCAAGTACATATAGTTGAACAACAATTTTATTCATGCAAAGTATATGCCTACTATAGTCAGGTAAACACAATGAAGACAAGCAAGTACACATTTTAAGCAAGTTTTTTTTTTTTTACTGCTATATAGTTAAGCAAAGTATGAAAAGGTCATTATGGTGAGTCAAGCAAGCATGCACGAATCCCGGCCTTGCCGCAGTTATATATAGTCCTACTATTATATTCAGGTAAGCACGTACAGCTAGCCAAACAAGACTAGTAATAAATTGTTTCATTTATAGCGCTATATCCAATTCATAATTGATCAAAGCACTTCACAAAACAAATAAATCAATGAATTAAAACTCAACAAAAATATGATAGAAAATGTAAAT